TCCTGAATAATATGGATGCTTTTCTCCAGTTCTTGCATATTTTGATCCAGCATCTGCTGAATAGCAGATGTGTATGTAGAAGAAAGTGGCTTCTGTAGATCTTTCATCATAGCATTTAGAGAATCATCTAGCTCATCCTGAGCAGCCATGCCTGCAAACACCATGCATTCACATCATTTAAGCGTTCATTGATTTCAATCACAACTTCCACAAGGGTAATGCCATAACACATGACTGTTTTACTGCAAGTCAGCTGGTGGTCCATTCAACTATTTCAAAGGAGCTAAAATGCTGGACCTATCACTATAGATGACTGTCTATAGCTTGAAGAAAATCACACCACACATTTAGTCAAATCCACACATAACTATTATACTTTATCCTAACATTACTTCAATACAGAAATAAATGGCTGGAAAAACCTAGGGGTGGGGGGTGGGGGGGGGGGGGGGGGGGGGGGGGGGGTGGGGGGGGGTGGGGTGATGATTTGCTCCAATATGACAAGTACCACCTGCCCACCTCTCAAATCCTGTGAGTCAAATCATTGGTAATTCAACACATGTTGAGTTATTGTTGAAACTACCACTTAAGTTTTATTACATGCGTGAGCAATGACACTAAGAATGGAGCTACAACAGTTAAATGTTTCACAGCTCCAAGAATGTAATACCCATGCTTTTCAATCTAGTATAGTTGGGCACAAAATGGCAGTTGTAGCTGATACACCCTAAGTCACTAATGCACAATAAATTTAGTATAGCCAGAATCAAAAATTCAATGTCAGAAGTTGCATTATCACAAATATAATTTCTGACAACCAAATTAAACCACCCTGCAACAATGGCATGTTTAGATGAATTCTAGGCAATGACCAATTTAAATGGCCTGATAACTTTGATGACCAGCACAGAACTGCTATCTCAGACACCATGTGTTGAGGTTATCACAATGTGACAACAGGATCACAACCAGGATTTTGTAAATGGGGACAGAGCTCAGTGAGCATTCCACATGAGGGAACTGACGGAACTGCTCACGGTTCTTAAGTTAAAACTATGGGATGAAGGTGCGCCTGTCAAACGCTCTTCGGCCACAGCCTGCATCCCCACTTGTTTACACCTTTGCCAGGAGACTACAGCATTCCTTAGATATGCCATCACCCTGATACCTTCGTGCTACTACGGATCTTAAACGCACGAACTCAAAACACAACGCCGTTGCAAGAGCCAACAATTTAACTTTGATTCACAATTTGTCCCCATCACCGCCCAATCACCTTCCACGACCGCTACACCGCAGCCGCAAACAACGCTGCTGAGGAGCAGCCGCCCGCAAATTCAATTTCAGCGCGACCTCCAACGCCCTCGGCTTCTGTTCGTGTACATCAAACTACGCTCATCAGCGTTGATGTCTACTGCTTTCGACCAATAACAATTTCAATTCGAACTCCTTACCAATCCCAGCGTAGGACACGAAAAGCCATCAGCTGAGCAATTTTGTCAAGGCGTGCTGAATGATGCATACCAAAAAATGCGCCTTTAAGAGCCAAAAACAGCCATTTTATCTCAGTAAATTTCAAAAATATTGTACTTTTATGATATGAGAAATGGTTTTTATACAAAAATTTGAGAAAATATGAGATTTCTCGTTTCATACTACTAAATAAGTGAGATTCTTGTAGTCAGCTGAAGAGCGATTTGCCAGGTGCATTATGTTTGTATTGGGTGCGCAATAGTTGTGTACCAGTGGTCCTCAACAATTTTGCTCTCAAGGGTAGCGCGCATGCTATTGATGGGAGACTTAAGTGTTCGTTGAGTCATCATCACGGGGTTCTCAGTGGGCCGGGATAAAATTTACCCATATGGCAAAATCTTTGTAGCACGCAGCTTACATTATCTGCCCATACAGATCTTAGGGGATATCATCCTCCGAGTTCCTTGCAAGCCGTTTGGATCATTCCTTTGTTCTATGTGACTTAAAATATTGAATTATGGCGAATATTGCCATTTCAAGGATTTAAAAGGGAATTTAAGGAAGTAATAAAAGTGAAGAGGTGTAGTTACCTTTGCTGAGAACCTTGTCATGCAAGGTGTCGGGTTGTTGACGGTATCCAAACCTCACCAAATATGCACCTGGGGAACCCCCAAGGTACCTGATGAAGACCACTCGGTGAAAACCCCCCACACAAGATGCAGGATGGGGCCAATGAGCGTGTCATTATTAACATTATGCTTACAGTAAGAGGCCAATGGCTTTACTGGCAGGAGATGCGAATGGAAGAATACATTATGTAATGTGCGGTTTGTTCCAGTTATAAGTATTTTGTACATAAGATGTGTGATATGGAGCATCAACAGTTCTTCAGATGATGGACAGTGAAAGTAGCATTCATATGCATGTCATTGGTTGCTACATTGTGTTGTGGTTTCTTTGTTTACTCTCCCTGAAGTGGCATTACTGATCTTTGTGAAAAGTGCAATGTTTGTTATGTAAGTTAGGGTTGCATGTTATTATCTTGTCTGAATGCTAGTGCAGTGGGAGTTTTGATACTCACTCATTTGAAACATTCAGACATAATTCAGCTAATGTTATGACACAGTTAAACTGCAATCAAGAATGAACATTAAATCTGCCCTAAACACACTGTCACTACCTTGGTAACCAACTAGCCCATACTGTCACACACATTTCAAGGAGGAGAAATGCCAATATGGATTTCTCTGTGTTTTGATTAATGTTATGTCATATTGATCATGTTCATTCATGTTTTATGGCTACAGACAGTTCTGGAATTTGTCTTGCTGCTTCTCAACGCTATCTTTATTTGAATATTGGTTTTAGTTGTTTTGTACCATGACCAGAAAACAGTGCAGGTAGTTGAGCTCATTGTACTGATATCTTATTTCTAAGATATATATCCCTGGCTTAGAATTGTTGTTTGCATTATAGTTATCATACAACATTTATCTGATTGCTCTTCAGCAATAAATTTTGCATTCAATGTCCATTCTTTATTTAAAGCCCATTTTTATATATAGGCATTCCACACCATTTGGAAACTACATGGTATGGGTAGGGTTTGTGTGGGATGTTCACCAGGTGGCTGTGTTCAGATATGGCTGTGTGACCTGATCATAACACATCAAGAAACATCACATAATATAAATGTAGTGGCTTGGCTATGTCCAAAATGTAACTCAATAATTTCTTCCTGTTGACCACTGTGATCTCAAAGGCACCTGGTTGCCTGGAGAGACAACTTGTGTTTGCACTCCATCAGAAGATGAACTATCAAATTTGTGTGCAGAGATTTGGTTACATAACCTCATAGATACCCTATGTTAGATAACCTTACTACTTCAGGTTTGGTAATAAGGCTGATGATGAAGTGTTGATTATATAACCATAGAACTGAATGATGTAAACACATAGCATTGCTTAAGTGTAAAAGTTGTTTATTTCATGCTGGCTGGTCATTAGGTCTTTTGTGAAGAATGTTCTATGTGTTTTGATGAAATGCTCTGCTTCCTGCTTGATGTTTAGAAAAATGGGGATCTGTATGCTATGAGTGATGGTACTTCTCTCGGACAATGCCTGCATGAAAAGGGATGACCATGCTACCCTATGTTAATGGTTGTTTTCAAATTGAAGTATGCCTAACTTAAATAATCAAATTAGGCATCCTGATTCACATTGGGTGTGCCCTGAAGTGTTCAGCTCTCACTTATGCGTGCAGATCGCCAAGTCGATGATCAAGGTGGAGCTGGTGAATGACAACTACTCGCAGCTGCGTGGCGAGATTTCGGGTCCGCCCGACACGCCGTACGAGGGCGGCCACTTCGTGCTCGACATCAAGATTCCGGAGACGTACCCGTTCAACCCGCCCAAGGTCCGCTTTCTGACGCGTATCTGGCACCCGAACATCTCGTCGGTGACGGGCGCCATCTGCCTGGACATCCTGAAGGACCAGTGGGCGGCGGCCATGACGCTGCGCACCGTGCTGCTGTCGCTGCAGGCGCTGATGGCGGCCGCTGAGCCGGACGACCCGCAGGATGCGGTCGTGGCGCGTCAGTACAAGGAACACCCGGACATGTTCCGCAAGACGGCGCAGCATTGGACCAACAAGTACGCCTCTGGTGAGTGGCCGCCCAGCGGAGGAGGGCGGGGGTGGGGAAAGAGGGGGGGGGGGGGGGGTGCGATGTGACGCAGCAGCGCCTGTCATCGGAAAGGCAAGCAGGGCGATCTGATCCGCGGTTTGCTTGGTCAGGTGTGCCAAGGTTGGAGCTGATGGAGAAAATTAATCCGCACTTATGTATGAGAATGAGCTGGGTGGGTGCGCCCACGAGCTACATGGCCTCAGCAGTTGAAATGGTCGTAAAGCCCGCCGTATAGCTTCAGCAGCTGAAATTGTCGCAAAGCCCCAAAAGCGGTATGTCCACGATGCGACGTAGCTTATTTGTCAACTGATGTATGCTCTCCACTGAGCCATTGTAGACTATGATAGCCTCCATTCAGGCTTGACTACGAGCGGGCGCGCTGCAGATGAGCTTGACGCCGCCGGTGCCGGTCAGACAGCCTCTGACAGCTGCTGGGCTGGTGTCGCCGCGCCCAGCCGGCCCTCTCTTGTGTGGTTCGCCCGTGACCAGAAGCCGCCGCCCGCAGGCCCCAGGGCGGTGCCCGAATTCGACGAAAAGGTCTGCAAGCTGCGCGACATGGGCTTCGAGGAGCAGACGGCGCGCGCCGCGCTCTCCTCCTGCGAATGGAACCTGGAGAAGGCACCGAGACCCTGTTCAGCTAGGCGGCGGCGGCTCGTGGACAGTCAACAGGCCGCGCCGACGCTGGCGCAGCAAAACGCACTCCAGGCAAACCACGTCGAGGCCATCTGGAGATCATAGTCAGATTTATTTTCATAAGATCGGAACGCCGTGGGGTCAATCTTTTTCGCTGGTAAGGTTTAGCCGAATGTAAGAGACGTTGTGTCGGGATTCTTTCACTCCCCGGTCTCGCCGATCAGACAGAGTGCGATGTCGGTACAGTGCGATGATCGAACACTTACCGTTGAAGCGGTAGGCTAGAGGTGCCTCTAAGTCAAAATTGCAATGTATGATTTAAGCGCAAGTGCGCCACTTATGCGCTGGGTTTGTCCCGCTTTGTTACGAGGTCTAAATGAGGGGTGGGAGGCGGTCGGGTCGGCAGACCCTCTGCCTTTGTTCGGATAGCTTGGTTGGTCAGGCGCTGTCGTCTCGCAGGCTGGCGGATCGACCTCCCTGCGTCCGATCGACCGGTCACGGGAGCCTGACCGCCAGAACCTTCCCGTTAAACGCCGCCGAGAGAGCCGTGCCGCCGCAGGGGTTACACCGCGGCTGGAGGCCGTCTGGTGCCCGGCTGCCGTTCCCCTTATTCCGTGCTGGTGCATCGTGTGTGTGTGTGTGTGTCACCGCACGGAGGCGCACGTGCTGCACGTGCACCAGCTGACGCCCACCACGCCGTGCCCGACGTCGGCGCGGTCCGCGCTGCTCCTGACGGCAGCCAGAGGTCTCTGACTGCCGACCGAGGCCGCCGGGCCGCCCGCCTCGAGAGAAGCCAGTTGTGCAGCCGTCTTCGGTGACCGGCGCCCAGGACCTTTGGCGGGCCCGGTAGGCGAGCGTCGCCAGCGTAGCCACCGCTCAGGTCTGCGTGACGGCCGCCTCCGTCCTCTGGATCGGCCGTCAAGCGCCGGTGCACCAACGCCGTCGCCACCAGCCGGCTGTCGGGGCGCCGTGCATTCTCTCCCACTGGCTGGAGCGACTTCACTGCAACGCCACGAGTCTGGATCGGCGCCTTACCTGTTTACCATCGGTAGCGGCCAGGGCCGGGACTGTTCCGCTCCACCGGACAGGAGGCCTGTGCCTCCGCGCTTCACCCATCCGGTGACGTCACATTTGGCCCCGGCGCCGGCAGAGGGCGCCGCTGCTCCCACCCTCCGGACCCCGAGGCGGGAGGGCGGCTCCCGCCTGAATGTTGGGGAGTGGTGGAGGGCCGCCCGTACGCTCCCGGCTGATGGCCGTGCGACGGACCGGAGCGAAAGACAGGCGCGGCGGAGGGGCGTCGGGCTCGAGGGGTGTTACGACGAGCGGAGGCCGCATCGATGCGCCGCCGGACCCACATGGAATGTGTTTTTCTGTAAATAAACGAGGTGAATTTGATAGTTGCTCGGCGTTTCCTTGCTTGACGTGGGCGCCGATGGAGACTGAGTTCGAACGGAGGTTTCTGTGGTAATTTGGTCGCTTGGTAACCGCAGACTGCCGAGTCGACACAGGTCGCAATGCGTTTAAAATCGTACGATGATACTCGGAGATAAAAACTTGGAAACTTGGGAGCCGTTCGCGGAAGTGATTCAGCTGATGGCACCAACCAGCTCGCTGTTTTCGGGGTGCGACGTGGGTGTGACAGATGGATCAGCCCATCTGTGAGGCAAGCAACGGGCTACCCTTCCATCTCCGCCACCGACATGCGTTGCACTGAAATTGAAATGAATTTTCAAGTGCCTGTCTTACCAGATTACGCATCGAACAAAACGCGTGATTTTAATGCCCTGAGCGTGCCGCGATGTATGCCACACCTTGGTGCAGGGCGGGTGTGTCGGAGGTGTGCCACCTGTTTCCACTATCGCGCCAGACAGTGGTGCTACGTGGGAAGGCCCGTGGGAGTCCGGCCACTCCCGCCCAATCGCAGCACTGCACATGGACTCAACCGTGGCGAGTAAGGCTCCTTCATTCCTCGCCCTCGGCTTGAGCAGGCAAGTGATAACCTCCTGCTCATGACATCTGACTGTTCGTATGGATTCTGCCTATGTTGTGATCGCATTGTAAATGAGAACTGAAAACATGCACTGGGGCACGTTGTGATGGAAGCAGGCATGTGCCTGATCAAAGCATACTTATTATTTTCGGGACGCGTTCTCTAATTCATCAGAGTGGAAATCGTGCTTAAGCTTACATCGTGGCATGGCGGCAAGTTTGTTCTGCTACGGTCGTCACGTGACCTGCACAGCGTGTCGACCGTACCGCCCACGTGGGTACAGATCCACGCGGCGCCCACCACAAACGCATCACAGCCGCTGGTGTTGTAGATCGGTGACGCGAGGGTCCAGTTAGCACCAGCTCACCCTCTGCCTGTGGTGGTGTCATCGGTGACGCGAGGGTCCAGTCAGCACCAGCTCACCCTCTGTCTGTGGTGGTGTTATCGGTGACGCGGGGGTCCAGTCAGCACCAGCCCACCCTATGTCTGCGGTGGTGTTATCGGTGACGCGGGGGTCCAGTCAGCACCAGCTCACCCTATGTCTGCGGTGGTGTTATCGGTGACGCGAGGGTCCAGTCAGCACCAGTTCACCCTCTGTCTGTGGTGGTGTTGCAGAGCGAAAGTTCAACAGTCATGTCGGTCTGGCCGCTGGCCCTGTGTCTGTCGGTGGCCGTCGCCGCGGCCTCCGTGCTGAACCTCCGCGGCGGCGGCCAAACCAGCCTCGGCCGCTCGGTCAAGGGGGACATTGGCAAAACAACGGTACGTGGCCTTCGTGCACTGTGCAATGAATACTCTCACTGATGGGGTAAGTACCCCAGCCCTCGTTGGGCATGGATCGTTTGATGGTACTGTTCTGAATGCACCGCGGCGGGATCTGTAGAACATCGCTAGTCATATTGCGATGCGGCGAACTTCTCTTGAACTTTTTGTGGAGGAGGTCAATATGACCCACTGAAGCCTACAAATCTCCTCGGTCGGTTCTGTTATGAACTGAAACCCAAACTGAGTGCTGGGGTGTGGGCTCCCTCTGGCATCTAAACAAAATCAGAAGTGTTAACGGCGCACCCAGAGAGTAAAAATAAGGTACTGAAATTTATTAATGTATGTTTGGTAGATCTACGAGATAAATGACGCGAAAATGGGCTTTAAACACCGGCATAAAATGTCATCCGATGTAATGGGGCTGTTTTCGTGTCCGCAACCAATCCAAATTGCTGATAAGAAGACGGCAAGTGAAAAACTGAACACGGTCGGACATGATATCGTTGCCATAATTAATCCACTTCAAAGCTTCAATACCGGACTCGGGTGCGGTAAGAGGGGGACAGCGCAAGCTACTGGGTCTCATTTCATTCAATGAGTGGTGTGACCCGGTGGTGTGACGATTACAGCCTAACGTTGAAACTGTTGCAAAGGTTGTCAGAATCCGTCAGCCCGTTGTCTTGTTGGTGACGGTTGTAGGAATACTTCATTGCAGAGTCAGCTTGAGATCTGCTCGAGATTCCCGTGGAGGTACTGCATGCCAATGTGCCCAAGTCAGTCACCGGAGTTAAACTCATGGATAGCTTGGCTCTCCGCGATACCTGACTCCACCCTTGTCACGTTTTCTTAGACATATGCATCATAATGCTGATGTACTGGACAGTCGGTCATTGCAAAGACACCAGACTGTAAAAGACGAACAGGTTTTGTCATATTATCTGACAACGCCTTTGTTTAAGCCACCATATAACTCTTAAATGATGGATTCCGCCCAGCAAATGCATCATTTTCATCACGATTCAGAATTTTAATAAGGATTTAGGATTTTAATGCAGCCTTGCCACACGCGTTATGTAAACGCCGCGAATGCCCGCTAGGTCATGGCGCGGCAATGGCACTGCGCCGCCCAATGCTCGCCACCACGTGCGGCTGCTCCCACAGCCGGCCTGTGCGCCAGGTGGCCCACTCCTGAGGGTACTGGCGACATTCGCCACCCCTGCAGCCAGTGACAGACGTCCGGTAGGCAGCACTGAAGGGTTATCAGTGTGGGACTGCCCATCCTGCCACCTGACGTTGCCAGACGTCCGCCGCGCTGTTCCGCTGCGTGGGAGCGGCCAGCCCGTGCTGGCGCGAGCTTTCCAATTTCGCAGCACGGCATGACCAACCAGACACCGCCTGGGCGTTATGCCAGCCACGGCCGCCTGGAGATGGGGATAACAGCACCCGCAGGATCTCAATATCTTATCGTTGAATCGAAAAATTTAGACAACAATCGACAGCAAACAACAACCTCGATCAGTCACCCAGAAATCATCAAACTGGCTTTTATCTCATGACGGGTTATGTCAGATGGCGCCAAATACCTTACAAACGTGCGGAATTTTTTAAAGGATTTCGTGGCTCCCCATCGTACGCGATATCAGTCGTAGAGTTCTGCAACCGGCGACAAACAAAAGAGCGCGCTTCATGCAAAATCGGATCAAGGCCAGGGTTGTGTCAGGCCAATGGCAAACCACTTAATCTGATATAGTTGTGCTCCTCCGGCGCGTGCACATAACACATACGCAGAAATCATTGGGAAGAAAATGTGCTGTAATGCCATCTGTCGCAAACAATCATTTTCCCAAACTTAAAAGTCATTACCTCCAGTTTCCGATCCATCACGTCTCAGGTGCTGGTGAGTCTACCTGGCATCGTTCGGGGTCTGCTTCCAAAAGGGGAAGGAGAGTTCACCTCTCCCCCTCTTGGTCGCGAGTTGAAGCTCGTGGGCGATGGCTCGGCTGGTCTGCTCTTGTGCTTTGAATGAGGTTTGCATGGCTTACTCTGGTGACTGAACGCTATGAAGGCAGCGAGATCGGCAAGCAAAGCGCGCCATGTGGGAAATGCAACCTGTCCTTCAAAGCAGCCTCTTAATGAGTGCTCTTCCCGTTTACCTGGTTTCCGGTGTTTTAGCCATACAGAACCGCGGGAGGGTCTTGTGATCTTGATAAGAGTTGGTGCCACTTATCTTTGCCACTTCGCATCTTTGGCACCATGACCCGAGCGTCCATGCAATTTATCTGGATGCCTCAAATGACGCGCATTTTTGCACTCGATGAGAAACTAGGTGGATGAATTGGACATGTGCTGACGGCTGACCAGAACCGGTGGCATAAAGTCAGCTGATTAAATGGTCCGCATTTCCATTTATTTTCGGTACTGGCCGCCACGGTATTTGTTTAATGTCGCGAGTAATATGTTGGGACATGCAACTGCTGTGGCCACTGGCGTCGCAGTCAGTCACGTTCACTGTTACGGATGACACCGGGACACGCCAGGTCGAAAGGTTCGAACCTGTCACCCTGCGGTCACGTGTCAAGTGTCCAACTGGAGCACTGGCTGGAGCCTTCCCGCTCGGGAATTTACCCGGCGAAACACGAAAGGAGCGAATCGCAAAATACGTAAGTGACCTGACCCAACTTTGTCGTTCCTCCCCCTCCCCCTTCCACCACCAGCTGGAGCTGATTCGCGAGAACGGCTACCCAGCCGAAGAGCACGACATCACTACCGGCGACGGCTACATCATCACCATCCACCGAATCCCGTACGGCCGGGCGGGGCCGGGCGCCGGGCCGCGGCCTGTCGCCCACCTTCAGCACGGCCTGCTGTCGGCCAGCTCCGACTGGATCATGCAGCCGCCCGACAGGGCACTAGGTACAGTCACGGAGAGCGGCAGCCAAAGGCCGAAGCTTTGGAGCACGTTCTAAATATGTGCCGTTATGTGCCGTCTAGATATGTGCCGTAAATGTCTCATCAGTGTGCCGTTTGAAGCTGTGTCCGCTTGGCTATGCGCACTGCGTTCCTGCCACTGCTGGAACAATTCGCCAGAAATGCTGGAA